CGATGAAGAGTCTCAACAAGAGACCTTCTTTCAGGAAAGTGCGTACACATATATTGACTTATCATAGAGAGCGTGTGTATCAGTAATGGTTACAAGAGCGTGAAAATCAACAACCTATACAAAACTTCAGGATTTTATGAATGAAAATGTTTTTACCCTGTGAATATTATATATCACAATGTCAATGCCTCTCACAGTCTCCTTACCAAATCTGTCGCCACAAATATTCTCTTGTGCTTCCTTCAAACTTTTGTAGCGAGTTTAGGAAGAACTTGGAAGAGGGTTCGAGCAAATTCTTAACAATGTAAGAATTCTCAACTAGAGATCAAGAGAATGACCTATATTTACTCCTTGATGAGGCTTCGAAAGTCAATATGCAAAAGACCATGGATTATGGCTCTGTTTTAATTAACTCAGAGCAAACGATATCAATATAAGTGTATACATCTTTATCTTCATCATCTTCAAGGAGACACCAACCTATCTTCTCAAGAAGGTCTTACTTCTTTAATCAATTAAACTATATCAATATATGTGTATACACTTTGTTTCTTGATTTTTTTTTGCACCTACAATAGTTACAACATTTATCAATATGTATCAGCACCTGATGATTCTATGATTCATCATTCTGGAGAATAAACATAATATTCTGATTTTTTTCCGTATACTATACAAAATAAAATTTTTTTGACTTAATATGCTTGAGTTAGACTTTTTACATCATTGGTTCGACTCTTTTGTTATGTAAACGTGGTAATGATATCCAATTAGAGCAAGTTATATATATATTTTGAGATGTTATACTTAGCAAGAAAAGTATAATTAATACAAGAACACATACCAGCTTCATATACATTTTATAATTTATTTATGAATTGACCGAGAATTAAGGTCCGATTATTACAACAATATTAACAACATACACAACACATAAGCTTTGATTATTTAATAACAAGCAATACATATATCATAATAGTTATTCGATTCAAAGAGATTGGTTACACTTATTATGCGATGAACTTAGAAAACCATTTTCCTTAATCTTTTTCTCTTCGATCAGCAGGATTAGTGAAATTGACGCAATTCATACCAAATCGAAGAGTGTAACCATTTCCGAATTCGTAATTGTCCATCAATGACCATGCAAAATACCCTGCTACGTTGCATCCATCCCTATAATATATTTTGGTGTATTAAGATTTATAATTCTCAAAAGAAGTACTATACCAAATTATAAAATACAAAAATGTTATAACTCACTCGATGGAGCATTTGAGACACGAAAGATGGCTGCAATGATTTTGAATTCTTCCATTATCGGCTAGAGCATTAGCAAGCGTCAAGTTTCCAAAATCAGCAACTCCTGAAAAATTCAATATACGATTTTATAACAAAGTTGCACATATATAGGTTTGATTTTATTGGTTAAACATAATTGAATGCAATATAAAATGTGATATATATGGACAACTTAACCATTTTCGGTGACGTAGGTAAGTGGGTTTTTGTAGTTGTCTTTGATGTGATTTAGAATCATTCGGAACCCTGAAGGATAGTAGACGAAGCTAGCAGTCTGAACACCAATAGGAACTCCATTGCGATAAACTGAAACCAATTTTATAAAAAAAATGATTTTAGCTAATTGATATATCTCATATATATATATTTTTCATAAGTACGCAAAAAATTAAAGTTTTCCATACATCCAAGTGTGACTCTTGCATCGGTTAAGGCATTAGGCTTTGTCGAAAGAGGAGGTGGTGCGTTGGTTGCATATTGTGCAACATAATAGTTCAACCCTAGAAAATCAAGTGATCCTTTAACTAAAGCTGTTTCTTGAGGTGTGAATTTTGGCAATCTATCTCCAACCATCTCTTTCATTATCGTTGGATATTTTCCGTACACCAACGGATCCAAAAACCTTCACATATGTATAAGAATAGATTCATAAAGTAATATTGCAAAGTATGTTTGTTACAAATATGTTTATAACCAAATCTTTCTATATGTGTGTATGCGCATATATATGAGATTTGAGAGTTAATATTAATTACTAATAATATATATATACCATCCGACGAAAAAATCTTTTCGCAGCAGCCTTGTCGAGATTGCTAGTTTCGTTTAACGGAGCAAACCATCTACCGATCAAGGTCGTTCCTATCTTTACCACCTTGAAATTTCTGCATGC